AGGGGCTCTTATGGTCTAGAGGTTGAGGTGTTCGCATCTCATTCAATAGGTCTTGGGTTTCGAATCCGGATGGCGGCGGAAAATTTCTTTCTCTTAATAAAAAAATAAATTCTCCTTTCACATCCTTTCCTGCTTTCTAACAATGTACTGTCGTCTGCTTTTGTTTCCACTCTCTTCCCCACCCTGTCACCTCCTTTGCCCCATCCCCAGGGCTCCTGCCTCTTTCTGCACCCTTCCTATTTGCTACTCCTGGGCTCCTTCTGCAGTCTTTCAACCACACCCCTGATCTTGTGGTATGTAAAACTGCACTTAACTTTCTCCGATAAGGGCGAAAAACCGCGGAGGTCCTGTGTGCAAGTTGCGTGCTTTAAAGAACCCTTAGTTGTCCAAATTCGATAAAAGTAGGCTTCGGCCTCCACCCAGGCAAAATTCAAAATTTCCTACCCCCTAAAATTAATATTTATTGGTGTGTTCCGCCCGCTCATATGACGTTATGCAGTTGCGAGTGCCGTAAAACGCTTATAAAAAAAGTTTTCTTTCTCTCGCACACTTATATAGGCCTACATAGTTTCTCTGTCTGTCTGTCTGTCTGTCTGTCTGTCTGTCTGTCTTTCTCCCTCCCTCTCTTTTTTGTCTTTCTCTCTCTCTCTCTCTTTGTTTCCCCCCTCTCTCTCTTTCTCTCTCTCTGTCACACACAAACTCAAACACACACACACACTCACACACACACATACACAAACTCACCCCCCTCCCCCAACACGCACACTCACACCTTACGGAATGAAATCAATGACCCCCCTAGGGCTATACTCACCCCGAGTTTATCATTAGCCAAGCTGCCAGTATCGACAAGAACGCCCGGAACCTATAAACACCAAGCAAAAAGTATACACACCGTTTCCTGCTGTGTATTTTAAGATGTTCGATTTGTGTTCCCCCGGGACCTTCATTCATATTTTATGGCGCTATTTTCTGAAAATGATGAGACGGTAAAGTGAAAATGCGTGGGCTAGAGAACGTGATGTTTTGAGAAATTGACATAATAAAACCAAACAAAACAAAACAAACGCAAGCAAAGCAAAGCAAAGCAAAGCAAAACATAGAAAAGCAGAGCAATGCAAAGCAAAAAACCAAAGCAAATCCAAGCAAAGCAAATCAAAACTAAGCAATGAAAAGCAAGGTAAAACAATGCATAAGAATGTAAATTAAAGCAAAGTTAAGGAAGGAAAAACAAAGCAAATGACAATAGATAAAACTGCTTTGCGCGTATAAAAAAAAAAAGATAATCACACCGTCACAGTGGAATATATTACATTGATTTTGTTTGACGGTTTCTGAGGTGCAGGAGATTTTAAACTTGATTTGGTACTCGTAAATTGTAAAGTTTGAATCGTAGATGATTGGCGGGTGCTCTGGTGTGGTTTTCTTCTTCTTTACCATCAAACATCTATCGTCCTTATCTCCCCTTCTTTTTTATGTTATTTACTCTCTTGTAACACCTCTAATCGTCTCGCGCTCATATGACCTTATGCAGTTGCAAGGGCCTTAAAACCTCTACTAAAACTTTTTAAAAATTCGAATCCGAGGCGGTCTGGGTTGCGGGTTGGAGGTGGGAGGGGGAGGGGCTGACATATATTTTCCTCGTTCTACCCGAAACACTCCTCAGTTTGACCTTCTGACTAGGGTCATTTTGGGCCACAGTGTCGTCTTTAACAGGGATCTAGAACTTGAACGAGAAAAACATAATGTACCGGGTGTTTAAATAAGACCCATTTAAAAGGTGATGACTCACTTATCTTTGGACCAATTTCATCTCAAATTAATAAAAAAAAAAAGCAATTTAATCGAGGGGACGTTAAATTTTTCAGCATAAGTATAAAAGAAATCAATGTACATGTTAATGATATATAAAGTTTTAACAGTTTCAACAAAATTGCAGTCAAACGTAAAACTTTGCAACTTCTCAAAAATTAACCGCAATGTGCTTTGGGCAGAAAGAACAAGTGCAAGATAAAATTAACATTGCCAAAGGAACTCAGGGAAAAATGTTGGTTATGTAAATTGTTTATTCTTCGTGTTGATAATTTTAGAAATTTGGAATAACCCTGTAGAATGCTGTTTCTGGGTCGGTTCTCTGTTCAACGTTGGGTTTCAAATGTTTCATTGTTTGTAGAGTTGAATCCGTAGAATAATATATTCTGTCCAAGAACTCCAAATGAAATAACTGAGGGTTTTCAAGTCGGGGGAATACGATGACCATGCATGTGTAAGCTGTCAGCCTGTAGGCCTCCTCAGTGGCATACGGCACTCTACTCCCCTATATTTTCCTTCCCAAACATCTCCAACACTTTCTCAGCAAGGTAGGAAATATCCATCTGATCTGATATTCGTCACTTTAACTGTCATAAATATGGTAAAATTGTTCTCTTTCAGGATATCTCGTCCCAGGAGGTTACAAAAGATCAAACAGCTGAGGAAAAAGACTGCAAAAGCTGCGATAACGACGATGATAAAGAAGACGAGGGTAAAGAGAAGAAGGAGGGAGAGAAGACCGAGGAGGAAAAGAAGAACGAGAAGCCTCCTTTCAGCTACAACGCTCTGATCATGATGGCCATCCGCAGTAGCCCCGAGAAGCGCATGACGCTGAGCCAGATCTACGAGTTTATCACCAAGAACTTCCCTTACTACCGGGACAACAAGCAGGGCTGGCAGAACTCCATACGGCACAATCTCAGCCTCAACAAATGTTTCCTCAAGGTAACCGTCATGTGCGTGTGTGTGTGTGTGTGTGTGTGTGTGTGTGTGTGTGTGTGTGTGTGTGTGTGTGTGTGTGTGTGCGTGTGTGTGTGTGTGTGTGTGTGTGTGTGTGTGTGTGTGTGTGTTTTGTGTGTTTACTTTTTCCTGAGTGGGGAAGGGTAAGGGGGGGGGGGATGGCTGTGATAGAAATGTAAGACCTCCAGCAACTCAATTAGTTCATCAGTTAGTCTAATCATAAGAGTGGGCATTCAGTTATATTACTTGCTTTCTTTCTTGAATGCGATTGAGATTGACCTGTTTCGAACTCCTATCTCTGGTTTTTTTCTTTAATTCCTGCTCTATGCGAAGACTCTTGCGCTTTTTAATCCACTTGCTCGATCCTATGTTAGATGGACATAAATCGGAGGTACGCCCCTCAAACAAAAAAGGTGTTACACTCATGAACCATGCCAAATTATGATTGCATTCATGTGATGTAAAGCTGAAAAGTAAAAAATAAAGAATTTTGTTTGACTATTTTCTGTCTTTTTTGTCTGAACAGGTTCCCCGCCATTATGACGACCCAGGCAAGGGCAACTACTGGATGATGGACCCTTCTTCTGACGATGTCTTCATAGGCGGGACAACTGGGAAGCTCCGGCGTCGATCTTCCGCCAACTCACGCCACCGCCTAGCGGCAATAAAACGCGCCGGGTTCCCCTTCCCCGGCTTCCCACCCACGTTCTTACCTCACCACGACCGCATGGCGGCGATCCAGATGGCGCTGGCTTCCGCTTACCACAGTATGGCGCTCCCTCCTAACGGTATAGGACCTTCTCAGCACCACCACTCACCTCATTCTCCGCTAGGGTGCGCTATGCCTCCGCCTCCTTCGTCTCCCCATCAACAGCTCCCTCCTACAAACGCCATGCTCTCCACCGCGTCTCTGCATCATCACCACCAAGCAGCGATGGCGGCAGCAGCAGCAGCGGCAACTTCGTCTCATCACGCTGGCCATCCACCGGCGTCATCACCGTACTTATTACCACCATCATTGTATCCGCCCTTCGCAGCTGGATCGTCCATCCCAGGAGGATTCCCCTTTGCGGCGATGGCGGCGGCAAGATTACGCGCGGTTTCGTCGCCAGAAACGGCGGCAGCAGCTGCTGTAGGCTCGAAATCTCTGTACGACCAGCGCACAACTCCGTCACCACCTGCAGGGGCTGGTTTGAAATCTTCTCCGTCTCTAGGAGGAGGTGGAGGTGGAGGAGGAGGGGGAGGAGGCGGAGGCCAGAAGATGTACCCTTTCATCGGTCACTTTCCTCACGACCCCCACCCCACGGCCCCACACGCGCACGCTTTGGGGAGCATGGACCTATGTTCTCGTCTGCGTGCGATGTCCGAACTCAAACACCACATGTCGTCGTCTGCCTGGACTTCTTTAGCTATGACGTCATTTCCGGGGATGCCTTCCGGTGGAGCAGTATCCTTAATGGACCCTGGGAAGTTCTGCTCCTCCTCACAAACAGCGAGTCCAAACTCAGCACTTGTGACGTCACCTAATTCTCCTTTTATGCCTGTAAATTCCAAGCATCGGTTTTCTTGATCTCTAGCTTTATTTGGAAAATTTGAGTCTTGTGTGTGGATGTGTTTGTATGTGTGTGTGTGCTTGTGTGTGTCTCTCTGTGTGTATGTATGTATGTATGTATGTATGTATGTATGTATGTATGTATGTATGTATGTATGTATGTATGTATGTATGTATGTATGTATGTATGTATGTATGTATGTGTGTGTGTGTGTACCTGGAAAGAAAGCGAGAGAGAGAAAGAAAGAAAGAAATAGAGAGGGAGAGAGAGAGAGAGAGAGAGAGAGAGAGAGAGAGAGAGAGAGAGAGAGAGAAAGAGAGAGAGAGAGAGAGAGAGAGCATAGAAAAAAACAGAGAGAGAGACAGTGAAACATGCACACACACACACACACACACACACACACACACACACACACACACACACACACAGAGAGAGAGAGAGAGAGAGAGAGAGAGAGAGAGAGAGAGAGAGAGAGAGAGAGAGAGAGAGAGAGAGAGAGAGAGAGAGAGAGAGAGAGAGAGAGGAAGAGAAGGGAGGGGGGTATCTTTCGATATTGTTTTCTTTGACTTCTGACATTTGATTTTGCCACAGGAGAGAAAACAAAGTAAAATTAAGCGTCAGTGCATAATTATGAAAACTGAACGACAAGATAGCATCGTTATAGTGTATTTTAGTAATTACTGTCACATTTCTTTGATTCACAACACAAGAAAAGCAATCCTCTTACTGGATTTTATTGCAGCTATAATTTTTGTTGTCAATGTAATCGGTGCTGTTGTTTTGGTTGGTTTTCACTTTCCGTTCCGTCAGCTCATGCAAAAATTTAGGAGAAAATATTAAGTTTTACCTCATTCTTAAAATTAATTAGTAAAAAGCATCTTTCCCGCATGGCATTACGGCGGTCCAAGTGTGGCCCCCACAGATGTTGGAAACCCTGGATGTGAGTTGTTGGAGTAAGTACGAAGAGGATGCACGTCTTTAGTTATTATTGACCAAACTTTAAAACCTGAAAAAAAGTACTCAAACAATATCACGAGAAAGAGAAATTAACAATCCAAGAGCAAGTCTTTTTTTTAGCAAAACGTCAATCTTGTGGAAGTTCTATGAGCGATAAAAGTTCTTTTTGTTTGTTTTAAGTAATGCCTTCTTTATAAAACTTTCTATAATGAGCTGAGCATTTTTGGTGGGGCAGATTCTTGAAGCTTGAAACTCAGTTTAAATAAAAATGTATGTCGACAAGCAAATTTATTATAATGCCTACATTATGAACATGGGTTGGGGGGGGGAGGGGGGGGGAGGGGAGGGGTGTAACTCATTTGGTATAATGGCGGGCTATGACACAGATCACCCTGGTTCAAATCGGCGTTCTTGAACAAGGTTTGTTGCCGAATTTTCAAAGCTCTCCAACTACTTGTCTCAATCTTGAGAGAGATTAGATGAGAAAAAAATCAATATAAGCCTAACAGGAAGAAAAAGGTTGTTTTTTTATATCTTCGCGGGGGAGGGGTTGCCTATGACAATTTCACGAAACACGAGAGAAAGAGAGAGAGAGAGAGAGAGAGAGAGAGAGAGAGAGAGAGAGAGAGAGAGACAAAGAGAGAGAGAGACACAGAGAAAGAGACAAAGACACAAACAGGGACACGCATATAGAAAAAGACAGTTAAAACGGAGTTATGGGGATGGGAGAAACCTCTATCGGAGATAACCGATGCTTGAACATTGACAGCAATGATAGTTATAATGAATAAAATAGTTTAGAGAGTAAAAAATACAAACTGATGACTCAGTAGAATTTTCTGCCGATTTCGTTTTTTTGTGGATTTATTTTTTTGCAACCCTGAAATAGACATGTGTTTTGAAGAGCATAATAAAGCTGATTTTGTGCATCATATTTTTTTCACTGTTCCTCGCAATGCTCTGTGTGTTACTTTTTACGTTGTTTATCCCCCGAAGACTGGTGTTGCCTTTGAGCTTGGGTGCTTCGCCCCTTCGTCGTCGCGGGTTTTCATCTAACATCACCGTATGTTTGCTGAGATGCTGAGGCATTCTATCCACCTTAGCCCGGATTGGTTCTAAAAGGGTGGGCAGGGTAGAAGCAGCCCGCCTCCTTAAGGATCTGAATTGTATCAATGAAGGCACATAACATTTGCAGTTACGTTGGTTCTTGTGAGCTGATAATTTAACGAACAAGCATAAACGTTAAAGAATGAAATGGCAGAGTAACGTAATCTTATACTCAAAGAGTTTCGGACTCGTAAATAAAGGAGTATGAGTACGATTCCCACTTCTGTCAAGTAGGACACTGTATCCCAAGGGAAGGTGCTTATCCTATTTTTCTGATTTCTCCCAAAGGTAAATAGGTACGTATATTGATGTAACGTTAATTGACAAACTGTAATTGTAACTGTAGGTGTTTTACGCCTCCATTGACACAATTTAGATAATTCAAGTAGTGCTGAACCAGGGCAAAGCCAACTCAGACAGAAGAAGAACCATGTTCCAGCTTTAGAAACTCCCAACACCGGGACCGAACTCACGCCTTACCGCTACACCACAGGCGCTGGTCAACTGCAAATGGGTATTCAAAATCTGCAGAAACAAATTATATATATTATTTATATATAACATAATAATATACATTTGAGGGGGGGGGTTAAACAAGGGGACCGAAATTGTTGTTTTAAATTAATTGGCCGTGCTAAGTCATGTCTGTGTTCATGGAGATTTCTTTTTAATGTGGGTGTTTTTACAGCCTCGTCGACACAATTTAAAACTTATAAGTGGCGGGCTTCCTATCCTGTCTTTTGGGGCCAATCCAGACTGAGAAGGATACAACATCCGAGCGCAAAGACCCAGATACCCGATTAATATTTTCTCGCCACTCGGAAACGAACTTGGGTCTCCTGCGTCCAACGGCGAAAGCCCCAACCTCTACTCTATAATAATAATAATAATAGATTGCATATAATAATATAGCGCTCTATCCCATACTCTGAGCGCTTTACACCAATCACATAATCATTCACAGAAGAAAAAAATATTTCACAGAAACAATAAAAACCATTTCAACCACATTAAGAAGAACTTTCACAACCATACATTAACTAAACACTAAAGGACAGTTTAAAAAAATATACATGTATATCAAAATATCAGAACTTACTAACACACTCTAACTAATAATTAAACAAATGAGTCTTGAGCAATCGCTTAAGAGGCCGGTTTCATGTTGATAAATGGCATAAATGAGCACCGATCAAACCATGTAAATGAATGAATCAGCAGAGGTCCCTGCTGTGTCGCAATGGGAGAAACGTAAGCAATTTAGCGGCGAAGAACCAAAACAATATTTTTTGGTATTATATCACCTAGACGAAGAGAGATTACCAAGTACAGTAAAAGGAGCAGAGTAGAACGGCTCATACGAAAATACTTGATGCAGTTTTTACCTAGGTGAGATCAATTTTAGAAGGTCAGTAACATTGTAATTGTTGGTTTTTAATGGCTGTTAACGTCTCAAGGTGCTTTTCTTTAAGCAGCTAAAACGAAAGTTTACATGTAGATATTTCTACGCCCCCATTGACACAATTTAGATAATTTAAAAGGCGGGCTTCTGATTGTCTGTCAGGGCCAACCTGGTCTGAGAATGGATATAACCCCCC